AATGAAACACATACAAAGCAGAACACAGCTAAATGTATCAAAAGCATGTCTATGTAATATTAGAATTTTCTGACACAATGGTTTTTGGTTTTTCGTTTTTTTCCCCTGTAAGAGGTTTTTATTTAACAGAGTTTTTGGACCAAAAAATCGCAATATATCGCCTTGCTTATAGTATCGCAATATATCGTGATATATCGTATCGTGACCCCTCTGTCATGATATGTATCGTATCGCCAAATTCTTGCCAATACACAGCCCTAGTCTCTGGACACCTTTATGTCCTGGTCACATGACCAATTTATTGGGAAAGATTTTGTCTTCATACAAATCTGTTCCAAATTGTGTCAAAAGTCCAGACTTCAGGTTATACGTCCATTTTTTAATTGTGTTAATAAGTCAAGTAAAACCTGAGTTCAGAGAAATAAGTGACAGGACTTTTTAATGAAATATCTGTCACATTTGAGGTGGAGAGGAGCACTGAGCAGACTGACAGGGAAATCTCCCATCAGTCTGCCTGACAGCATTAATCATATTAATCATCAAGTGCAAAAAAATTAATCAATTAAAGTTTTCCTGATAATTAATTGCACATGATGTTGTCCAGGTCTGGATGGATAGGTCGTCCCTTGTTGACATCTTTTAATAATTAATTCTCAAGCTAAAACGAACCACTCTGGAAGCTGGAGGACAGCGGGGTTTAAAGAGACAGCTTTAAAACGAGTTCTTTAACAAGTGAAAGGGGGCTTGTGGAGTTACAGTAAGGAGGAATTCAGATCAAAGTATTATTTCCACCTTATAGACATCAAGTGAATGATTTACATGTGAAAAAGAAGGATTCAAACACATGATGTGTCCACTTTAAATGACCTGAAGTATTATAAAACAACTAACTTATACATGATTTGTACAGAAAAGCACAATAAGTGACTTTGTTGTTAAAGTGTAGCAGGATGACATCATTAGGAAATATTGTCTGGTGAAATCAAGACCATTCATGTTAGTAAAATAAAAGAAATGATGTCAGATTTCAGCTAATAAAACAAGTCAGGTGCTTCTTGTTTAACAGGTTTTCCACAGGTGAGTTGTGATTTTTTGTGTGGGAGCTGTGCTTTGTGTTACATGTCAGCAGATTCACTGTAACACACTGTAACAAACTGACTTTACAGTGAAGCAGACGGCTTCAAAACAAGCAGATCGTCACGTCGGTGATCGTCGTTCACTCAGTGAGCACTTTGAACACGTTTTTATTTTATTTTTATTTTAAAAGGACTGCGACGTCCTGCAGCAGTATGTAAATAAAGTAACACAGTCACAGGGCTGTGTGCTGCTCTGGTGTCAGACCACCATGATAAAATAACTCACGTGCCCACCTGATGTTCACGTTAGACTGAAGGTTACCTGTCAGAGCAGCCAGCTCATTTATTCCTGTCTGCTGTTTGTGCAACAAAAATAATGACTTGTGTTTTCACATTCAGAGGTCTGACATCAAATTAAAATATGTTGCTTTATCTTTTATTAAATAGGATGTAATGTCCTTACCTGTTATAGAAATGTTTTTTTTCACTCACCTACGTTTCTTTTGCTGATATCTAAATTGTTTTTTTGTTAAAGTTTTGTTGGATTCAAGGATCAAAATAAATAATACATATGTTGTCATTATGTTATTAAATTCACTCATTTAATATTCATCTGTGCAACATTATTACATTTTTTGCTGTAAAGAGTGATTATAAATAAATATAATAATATAATATTCTAAATAATTGTACATGCACGTTATTAGTTTTTGTTTTTCACTGGTCACAGCCATATGAGCAGCTCTTTAAATGTCAGTTCTTCCACAGTCTGGTCTGCAGTGTGGTTTCTCTGTATCTGGGTTCCTGACACTGCGGACCCTCTGGTTGTGCGAGGGCCCCTCACGTCTTTAACCTCGCTGAATGGTTTTTCAGAGCCCTGCTGCTGCGTGTAGCTGCAGGACCAAATAAAGACAAGCATTTGTCTTTTTCCCTCCAGTCTCATGTGGTCAAGTTGTGTTTGAGGAAGCAGGTGAGGGACGTTGAGTTTTTCCACTTACAGTTAAACCACTTGCAGCAGAGCTCTGTCCACTGCAGCCTTTCAGGCCCGACGGCTCCGTGTCACCATCCCAAACCAACCGTTCTTCTTCCATCAGAACACTGACTGCTTTGGTTCTCCTGTTTCTTTGTTTTTTATAACAGAACTGTTATTAAAGGGGCGTGTTTCTGTTTAACCATTTAATATTTATACTCAGATTGATTTGCAAAAACAATCTCAAACCTTAGAAAAATATAAAACATACCATTTATGTCCATGACTTTAAGCAAAACTTTCCATTAGATGTTTCTGTTTTCATTTGGGAAAATATTCTGGTTTAATATGTTCATAATGTAGGAATTATGTTAAAAAATAACAACAAAGCAGTGAGAACGGGTTCTAGTTTGGGGGTGACAGGAGCATACATGAATTTATATGGTCCTAAATATCAGTAAAGAATAGCTGAACTCCATATATGGAGT